GGAAAAGTTCAACTACATCTTGTGTTACCTAATAATGTTGAATTAATTGGTACTGGAAAATATCAACTTCATGATAATTAGATATATCACTTAGCAGTGTCTCATAGCCTGCACCTTTAGAAACATCTTTGCGTTTAATCAATGCGGGACATTGAAGCGCTTCCCTTGAATGTGTTTGACAGAGAATACAATTTAACCAATCTATTGGACAGTGTACTAGTTTAGACTTTGGTGATGTTTGTGGCACTTTAGGCGTGACGTCATATAACCTTGAACTTGAAAAAAGCACTGGGTTCTTTGTAACATTTCCCACATCTCTCTAGAAGCTTAGATTCTTACCTGGAAATATATTAATTATAGATAACATATTCAATATGTCTGTCAAATGAAGTATTTTTTCGGCTTTTGTAAATTTATGTTATCAAAAATTTCTAAAAAAATGCTTATAACATTACTTTTTGTTCTAGACTAGACAAGACAGACCTGAACCAGACTAGACTGGACTTGACTAGATAGATAGACAGGTTTGTAGGTAGGTAGTAGGTAGAAAGGTAGGTAGGTAGGTTCACAGATTCATAGATTGATTCATAGATACATAGACAGATACATACATAGAAACATACATAGATAAATACATAGATAGATGGATAATAGCTAGACATAAAGATAGATAGATACAAAGATACGTAGATACATACATAGATAGAGGGATAATAGATAGACAGATAGATTTTTTTTTTATTTGTTTATACAGTCTTTATTGGTTGTTGGATGTCTTTCATATTTGGTACGACGCGAGCTTGCTCTGTCTTTATCCCTTGGATCAGTTAAAGTTCAGGGGTACCTCAAATAATTTTCAAGACATTTGTTAATACAACATTTACTTATTGATGATATTTGTCACAGTTGGAAGGACCATACCTTGGATGGTCCAGTGTTGAGAGCGCCAAGGTCAAGATCACCTGTGCTGTGATAGATTTAAGAATAAAATTCTTATTTAGCCCTTTCTTTTTACCTATGTCTCATATCTATATTGAACATACCTCAGTTGAGAGTTATGAGCTTCATTTCGTTGTTAAATAAATAACAAAAACTCATAAAATTCATATTGTGAGCTATTTTTTGTTTTTTTATGAGCTTATGAACTTATGTCCAGGTGTAGTTAATGAGCTTATTTGCCTCTTAAATATCAAATGTTGGTACGTCCGTACTATCAAATTAGATAGATAATCAGTTTACAAGTATAGTTTTCCGATTATTTGTGATATATAACAATAAGTGATAGTTTGAAAATTCTCCAATTGACAGTCCCAGTCCGGTTTATTTTTGAACATCCCTAATATGTCATGAAGACTTTAAAATCTTTTTCCATTTTTAAATGTACATGTATAAAGACATACATATATACATGTATTTATAAGGAGGATGTTAGCATATGCACTAGTTTAATCAGGATGAAAACGCTTTATTAGAAATTCGTCCTAAATTTATAGGCGGGGCTTAATATGCTAAGGGTTTATCCCATGATTCAAATAATCGAATAAATATTTTTCAGTATTACTGCAATAAATATATACATCCCTTCGCGACGTGCGCGGAGGGCATAGATCACACCAGATTGGTAACCTAGTTAGGCCACTTAGCTAGTGTGACCTAACCAACGGCGAAGGGTGTGGCCCTACAAAGAGCTGCTGCTCCCGGAAGAGGTTCCGTTCCTCATATTGTCTACCGCGTTCAAGATGCGAAGAACTGTGTCATAGAGGAGATCTCTACGACGAAGACGGCATGAGAAGACCTCCATTGCAGGCTCTACAACCAGCGACGTAACAGAGGCAGGGTATATGGCAAAGCCGGCGCCCAGTATAAATAAAACTAAAACACACACGCACACACAAGCACGCACGCACACACACAATAAATATATTTTCAATAATACAATTTATATTTTCAAATTTAGAACATATATAGAGAAAATTATCGCACACAAATATTGTTTATGATGAACAAATATTCAGAAGGATTGAATAAATATTATGGTATAGAATATCAATTTAGAGTTATACAATATTAATACTGAATATAGACCAAAGAAATAAATCTATTGAATTTTGCAACGTTTAAGCCATCATTACGTATCAAGTTACCGAAAGGTATTGTATCTTAAGACGCATGCGTGATTTCATTTCTATCTGCTAACCGTAAACATTTCAGTTGTAAATTTTACAGACTTGTTCGTTTGGGATGTAAACAGGTGCACATTGAGATGCTGATATAACTTGTTTGGTTGTTTAGGCTGTAAAATATACCGGAGCGACTTTAAATGTAAATATAACAGACTTGGTTGTTTGGGATGTAAACGTTATAGGTGCGACGTTAAATATAGATATTCCAGACTTGGATGTTTGGCACGTAAACATAACAGGTGCGATTTGAAATGTAAGTATAATAGACATAGTTGTTTGACATGTCAACATCACAGGTGCGATTTGAGATGTAAATATAACAGCCTTGGTTGTTTGGCGTGTAAACATTATAAAAGCGGATCAAAAAATAAATATTGACCATTTTTACGACGTGGTCCGTTGCTATGAAAAATCGACCGGATGTAGTATTTTCTCGCGCATGCACAATCTGTGTAGGGCAAATGGGCGTCATAGAAATGTAGAAGGAAGTTGATAAACATATCCGTGTTAGTTAAAATGAAATATAAAATTATATATAACGAAAAGATACACAAAAAAGATGGGCCAAGATAACCATAAAAAGACATGGAAAAGTTGATTTTTTAAGAATCCCCCCTTGTGATCACGATCTTGACATATTTAGTTAATTGTTGTAAAAAAATGTGGAAATAAAACTTATTAGCAAGAAAAGAGGTCAACTTTATTGTTGTTGAAATGGTTCATATTAAAAATCAAGAGATTTGTATAACAAATCGAGGTTAATTATCAATTTATCATCCTGAAAAAAAGGTTAGAATACGTGATCATGCATGTTCATGAACATCTGTTTAGATCTACTTTCAGTTTCAGATCACCTGATTTTATCCTTAATCCGATTTGACTGCGATGGCAAACAGAAAATTTATAAGTCAAATAATCGTAGATGGGAAGTGAAATAACACACATGTTATCCGGTTCATCAAATATAAATGCCATCACAGTATAACTGCACAAACCAAATCTTTTTTCTTTGGTTCGATTACATATTCACGTTATATTCTTTTCCATGAAAATTTTGGTGGAAAACTATTGTCTGCAACATTTTAATTAATAGTTCGCTCAAACCGTATTTCCAATAAATACATGAAAAAGAAAGTTGAAAAGGCGGGATATATTTACGGATAGCCGATATTTTGGAGTTCGCTATAAAAGTGTAATTTTCTATACTTTTAACTGAATTGGGACTAATAAATGAGTTCCTTATAAGTGATAATTCCTTATAACCGTGTTCGCTATAACCGTATATTTTATATAAGATAAAGAAAGGGCAAATTTGTTCCTTATAACCGGAAGTTCGCTATAACTGTTTTCGCTATAAGTGAAGTTTACTGTACATTAAATGTCAGGAATACATCCTTGTGTTTCATTATCAATATTTAAGTAATTTGAATTGCATTCAAAGGGCCATTGATGTACAGAGGATATAAAAATTGGTGAAGTCATTCCCCCTTGCCTTGTGCCCTGAGGGACATTAAACCAGTTGATATTGTATACAGCTTGTCATAGGTGAATAAATTGCATTGAAAGTTAAAATGCATTTTTATCGATACAAGTTTCCTAAAGAGGTTTATTGTGCCATACTGTATCGAACGCATTGCGTCCGTCCATAAAACACAAGTTAATTTTCGAACCTAGTTCGCGAGCAAATTGTATACATGTATAAATGACGTCATTAGGCAGGGCAAACCGTTTTTGAATCGACCTGTTTTCAACATCGATGTGAACACATTGGCTAACACAGGAGTTAAAATATCCTTTGAATAAATAAGATATTCACACTGAATCTGATCCACCAGACTCCCTTCAGCAGCACTAGTACTGTGTTATAGCATTTTTCACTACATCCGATAAAACCGTAGCTGATGTGTCCAGCTGCAAGAATGTAACGCATCGGTTAAATTGTCTGATATAATACTCTCAACGATTGTGACATAGTCATGCATTATGATTATTAGGTGAATATAAGTCTTTAAAGTATTTGTACCAGCCATCAATTACAAGATGCCTGTCTCTAAAAGTTGATTAATTGAAATTTATACCAGCATCTTGAGTAGAATGATTCATTTTGCGTCGATTTACCATTTTCCAAAATTTAACGGAATCAACTTCCGCTGTCTGATCAATCTAACAATTATGTTCTAGTAAATATTCATTTACCCGTAGTCTATTCTGTCTTCGGAACTTGCGTTTGGTTGCTTTATTTTTTGAATTTTCCGGGTTTATAGCATTGCGAGGTGGCCCCTGACGACACCATTCCTGTCTCATGAGGAGCAACAGTTAAATTATCATTCCATTTGTTTAAAACGTTTTCTTCGGAAGATACGCATTTGCACACGACACGACACTTTCTACCACTTTAGCATACGCATATTCAATTGCAGGCGTATCTTATCCACAGTTCTACTAGTTTCTTTAAGTAACTATCAGCCATCAGCAATTTATTATTATTATCTATATGAATAGTATTGGCTTCACCCCAACATCATTATCACAACTGTCTTCTCTAAGAATAGGAATTTCGAGATCACATATAATAGGTCAATGAGAGAATACATTTAAACAATTAAAACAATTGCCATCAAAAACTTCACAGTGCTTTACACAGTCTATTATATTAATGTTTGACATTTACCATCAAATGAAACATGTGTGGCAAATTTCTGTTACATTTTTTACTGGAGTGATATTTGTATCAACAAGAAAATTATACAATGAAATATTTCTTGTACGTTTACTAAGATCGTCATACTTTGCATTGAAATCACCTAAATAGATTACAGTTCCACTGGTGACCTGTGTACTCCAAATGTCATATTATTTACCAATATATTCCCTGATTTACACAAGATAAACAAACCTGAAATATATAAAAAATACTTATTTGGCGCAATTTGTCATCGTCTATTGATAATGTGACTATATTATTTGGCGCAATTTCTCATCGTCTATTGATAATGGGACTATATAGTCAGCATGGGAGTAAAAGATCTTTATAACATACAACGCGAGTACAATAATATGATGTCACAATATCTATAAAATGGACATTTTATGGAGATAAGTACTTAATGTCACGTGCCCATGTAGAAAGTCTGCGGTCACTCTCATCGTCACGTTGTCGTCGCAATGCGTCACGCCAGAGCTATACACGACTTTGTAGATGGTATACATATCCTTGAAACTGACCAAAATGGTTTTATTTGGATAAAGCTTGAAAAAGAATATTTTAAACTTGCATTTGATATTTGTCTATGTTTTACTTATATTCCCTTAAATGAATCGGTGTACTTTAAGTCACATGAAATATGATTTTATAAACAGTTAGAAATAGGTATTAGAAAATATTCTCAACTTGGCAAAATTTGTCTTATGGTAGATCTAAATGCAAGGACGGGTACCAGAGATGATTTTATCAAACCAGTTGACTTATTTGACAAATATTTTCATACTATTAATGCTGAAACAGATGAGTGTATATTCAAATTGACACAAGGGTGAGCGAGGATACAGTATGTAACTCTTCTGGAATAAAACTTCTAGACATTTGCAAAAAAAATCAGATTTAAAGATATTAAATGGTCGTATGAGCGACGAAGTAATATTGGACGAGTGACATTTTTATCAAATATTGGGAAAAGTGTGATAGACTATGGAATTGCATCTTACGATTTGTTTCCTATAATAAGTGACTTTATTGTACATGATATATTTCCATTTTCTACACATGTACCTATTCAAATCAATATTGCAGATAATGTTTTAAATAATTTAAATAGCACACGCAAATTGAAATGGGATTCTTATAATGTTGACCAATATAAAGATTCTTTAATAAAAGAAACAGGTATATTAAATGGCATTGTTACAAATAAAATTTCGTCAAATATAACAGTTGATAATGGTATCATCACTTTTGGAAACGTACTGTATAACAGTGCATTAAAAATTTTTGGTACAAACCAATTTGTAACTACACGGGAAAATAAAGGTTTCTAATCCGTGGTTTACGTGCAATTGTAGAATTAAATCATGAAAACAAAGTGTATCGGAGTCATAGAACACAAGAAAATTATTGTTTGGTTATAAATAAAAGGCGATATTACAGAAGGAGAAAACGAAGTGCTAAACGTGCATATGAATTAAAACAGAAGTCTGAGTTACATAATGGTGCAAAGCAAAATCATAAAAGGTTTTGGGACCTGAATCGTAAATACATTAAAAATGTAAAGAAGATTCAAATCTGACTGCAAATGATTTTTACGAACATTTTAAGAGTTTTTTCAAATGATATCATTAATTCTGACCCAGATACCGAACAAATTGTTATTTATGACTTTTTAAATATTGCTGTAAATGAACTAAATTGTGACTTTAGTTTTGCTGAGATATATAATGCTCTAAAAATTTAAAACGGAATAAAAAAGCAGGTGAGGATTTGTTACTACCTGAAATATTTATTGATGCAAAACATATATTAGCACCAATATTATGTAAAGTTTTCAACTTTTTAAATACAATGTAGTAAGGGTGTTTATCCCGAATCATGTACAAAGGGAATGTTAGTGTTCCAAAGAAAGGTGATCTTAGCAATGTTGACAATTATAAGGGAATAATGTTAACAAGCATCTTTTCAAAAATATTTTCATATTAAAAAATTTTGTTAGATAAAAGAGCCCGAAAATTTGCAGATTAACAGATTGTCAATTTGGTTTTAGACAAAAACGAAGCACATTTGATTGTATATTTGTATTGCAGAAATTTATTGATAAAATAACCCACCAGGAACGTAAAAAATTGTACTGTGCATTTGTAGACTTTAAAAAAGCTTTTGAAATGGTATATAGGAATGGTATTTGGTATAAACTAATGCAATATAATTTTAATCTTCTAAATTTATAACTATGATAAAGTCTATGTATAACTTTGTGAAAATATGTGTAAGGGTGCAAGGTAATATTACTGATTATTCTGATAGTTATATGGGCGTTAAGCAAGGCGAAACATTGTCTCCCTTGCTTTAATTTTATACTGTTTATAAATGGCATGGAAAGGTATATTGCTGATAATAGTGCTGATACGATAACTTTAGAAGAATTGCAAATATTAATGCTGATGTTCGCAGCTGATACTGTGTTGTATTCATATTCGTCTAATGGCTTGCATATATTATTGAATAAATTAAAGTCATATTGTTTAAAGTGGAATATCACTGTAAATACTACAAAAACAGTTGCTTTGATTTTTAAATAAGGAAATAGGTTTGAGCAAGTTGATTTATATTAGATGATATAAGGTTAAATGTTGTCAGTAAATTTTATTATTTAGGTGTAGTTTTGACAGGAAATGGTAAATTTTATAATGCTCAAAAATCTTTATCAGAACAAGCACTTCGTGCCATATTTACATTGAACACCTTATTTGATGTTGTACCACTTGGTGTTAACGAGAAAATTAAACTATTTGATTCGATGATTTTACCATTATTACATTATAGATGTGAAATATGGAGATTTCATAAGGCCCCTGATATTGAGAGGATATATATTAAATTTTGTAAACAATTATTATGTGTAAGGTCTCAAACTTCAACTAAAGCTGTTCTTGGTGAACTCGGTAAATTTCCGTTAGATGTAATTCGTAAAGGGAGAATATTGAAATACTGGTATAGAATTTTGAACTCCCAAGATACATTGAAATATAAATGTTTCATCAATCAAGTTAATACTAATACATTAGGATCTTGGGCTTTGGGCTGATGTTATATCAATTCAAATGAAATTTAAAATACTAGAAAGTATAAAATACACTTAAAACATAATACTATTGACCAAATATGCACTCAGCTGTAAGATTCACAACACTCTTTGACATAAAATACCAATATTAAAAAGAAGAGTTACCTACAATAAAGTAAAAGACGTTTTTATGTATTAAAGTATTAAAGCTGGCTTTGTCTGTAAACTTAGTCATACATGGATTAACAAAAACGGGATGCATTTTCTGAACACCAGATAAGTTGTCAAAAATATTATCAATTATTCTCGCAGACTCAGATAGGTCTTTCCTGAATTGTATATAGAGTGGATAGTGCAACATAACATGTATCTCATCATCTACCATATCAGTACAGTTAAACCAAGTTCTTTTATGTTTACCTCCCTATTCCAAGTCTTTTCTAAATAATGCCATACCTTTTCGATAATGGAAATGCAATGTTGTTTTATATAGATTTCAGTTACAAAACATTTTTGAACATTCTATACATTCTTAGCTTATTTCTTCCATTTCCTGAAATTAATCACACTCGTTCTAGTGATTGTTTCCATTATCAACAATTTTCTTAATGATATTTGCTGCAATTATTGTTTTAGTATTCACTTTATTTTTATTAAAATAAATCTGGCCTTCCCAATCAATACCATGTAGCATTAAAATACTATTCTTACACTTAATGTTAGCTACTGGTCTTGACCAATTAAAGATTTTTATATTCAACCTTAAATAATGCATAATTAGCAACCTACAGTGCTGTCTAATAACGGAGCCCAATTGCTGAACTATCAGTGGCTTCCAGCCCACCAAACCTACCCCTAAAAATAACACATTTCCTTATTATAGATAGCATTTACACATGAGTATGACTTCTATCCCAATACATAATGTATAAGGGCGGCATAGTTAATGACAGGCCAGACAATGGACCCATAAAATTTCGTAAAGGAAGAGAAGTGAAAGCCACTAAGATTTTTACATTTGGAAATAATAAGACCAAGTGCTCCTCCTGCAGAAAGAGCTACATTCTTAGCAATTTCAGCAATTAAAATTCAAAAATTCATTTAAAATGACACCAATATATTTATAACTATGGGCAACATGTATCAGTGTTGAACCTATACTAAAGACATAACTTGCTTATTTGAAATGTAATTCAGTCGCGACTTCAGTTGTAAATAGCACAGACAGACAGTTCAACTGCACGAAAAGTAAGTGGGAAGCAAACCTTAAAAGGTTAACACCACGTTATGAAGATAGCACTTTACGCCCCCCTTCGAAGGAGAGGGTATATTGTTTTGCTTATGTCGGTAGGTCGGTCGGTCTGTCCGTCGGTAGACCACATGGTTTCCGCTGATTATCTTAAAAACTATTTATCACAAAGTCGTCATATTTCACATAGTGATTGGTCATGACTAGGTAATGACCTCTATTGATTTTGGGGTCACTTGGTCAAAGGTCAAGGTCATAGGTGCCTTAAATGTCAGAATCGTTTCAGCTTATTATCTTGAAAACTATCATCACAGTCTTTATATTTCACGTAGTTACTGGTCATAACTAGTGAAAGACCCCATGAAATGACGGTATATCTTCGTGTATTACTAATGTTTATTCATAGAACCCTGTCTTTCACTTTCCTTTGAAAAAAATCGTATATTTCATTTATATTAGAAATAGCCTGATCATCTATTTACCATGAAATTTATTATTGTACCAGTAAACATAAAGTGTTCCGTTTTTATGATTAAATTTTTTTTATCTTCCTCAATATATGTGTATATGTTATTATTATGTTATGTATTCATATATCAAAATAATGATCTTACCTTTGCCTACTTGAAACAGAATTTCGTCAAGTTCTGTTTTCATTTTCTGTGACTCAACTCAACAAGTACATTAACCTGACCTTATTACACAATGAAACCCCACGAAAAACACGAGAACCTGATCTTTTGAACGAATGAATTACAAGAGCGTAGCGGTTGGTATCTTCGCATGACTTTGGAATGCTTTCTTAAATATGATAAAGTACATAAATAATATGTTTCTTGTGAGTAATATTAATAAATACTGAGTTAAAAAGTGATGTATGGATAGAAAAACAAAAGAGCATGTAGGTAAGATAGTTACCGCACTCGGAAGAGGTCTGCATAGTATTAACACACCCGATGGCCTTTTCAAAACATCCATCTCTACGCTCCCTCGGTCTTCAAATCGCCACCCGTGTCTGTAAATACTGTGCAGGCATATTCCTCGTACGGTAATTATTACTTCTTTTCACGTTCCGGCGTTTCTGTATATACACGGTGAGATTTAAAATCCATCAAAAACAAATGCTGATCAAACGGCGGTTAGCCCAATACCGGCGCGTCACAATTATAAACAGCAATTTTATAATGTATTTGTGATCATTCAACCTATCAGAAAATCCACCATACTTCTGATTGGCTCTTACTTTATGGAGTTTACAAAAAAATCGGCCATTTACATGTACCACAAAAAATAACCGAGGTTCTGTGTGGGGAATTTAATTTATTAAGGGAAGCAAAACATAAATTGAAATATTATGTCTTATGGAAATTCTTATTTATGTTTATCATGTAATAAAACAGTCATTATGTATCGAACTCGACTGTTATATGGAAATATCAACTCAGGATTTTTCCTTACAGAAAATGTTCTCGACCTTACGGCCTCGATTATTTTTTGTAGAGAAAAACCCTCTATGTCGCCCAGGCCATGATATGTTTGCATACTAGTCTTGTCGCGATACTATAACTTGTTACCCGCTATAACTCAAATATCCTAAATTTAGATATTTGAGTTGTAATCCCTAAATGATAAAAGATCGGTATTTTGATGTAGGCTAGAATTAAGATATATATTTATACCATCCATTATATATTTAATATGAAATTTCTGTAAATAACAGTACACTTACCAGCAAAAGAAAGCAAGCGCTCAAAAGTCGTTTTGTAAATATTTACTTTGTCTAATACAAAGTAATGCCATTGGTTTGATAGGTTTATTTTTGTCATAGCATAGATACAAGATATGAAAATTTTAACACGAATATCAGACACACATTTGTTTTTATCTATTTTAAAAGAGATACCGCTAATTCAAAATTTACACAACTCGTTTGAATATACTCATTTATCTAGTATGTCAGCAGTGGCAATAAACTAAAATAGACATAATATACAAGAAAAATGCTGAAGAAAAAAAATCGTATTCAAAATATTTTAATGTAATCAGTTTGAAAATATGTACAACTCACACTTGTTTGGTAGTCAAATATAAAAAAATGAAGGCAGAACATGTTTGACTAAGCTTTCTTTTTCTTAATTTTACTTAGTTTGTGCACATAAAGTGTATTGACCAATATCTATCAAACTGATTTAGAATTAATTGTTTATAACTTCTTCTCTAGTTGTAGACTGCATGTAAATGGCAAGCCTAGAAGATTCTATGCTCTCAAGTGACGATGCTGGTTGTTCTCTGAACAAAGACGAAGAGGTGTTTATAAAACATATTCGGGAATATGACGTAAGCTTATTTTTCATGATTCATCAGCAACATTCTTTTCTATTGAAGAAATAAGAACATTTGAAATAGAGAGAAAAAGGCAAGTGGTGCCTTTCACAAACCATATCAACATACAAGTTTTGGTATTATACAAACTTTTAGTGACCAAGTGTAAAACAAGCTAATTTCTTACTCGACATAACTTGCATTCATTAACGGCTTTTAATGTTTTGATGACGTTGCTTTTGTTTTGCTTTTGTTGTACGTGGCATCAACACTGTTGAGGGCGACTACTTAGCTTAACTGGTGGCGGTAGACCCTATGTGCATTATTTCAGACACGAACGGGCATCTGGTAAAACCACATACGAAATAATGTGTATTATTTAACATGCATATGCTGACATATCACTTTACTCTAAGACTTTTATTGTTTTGTAGAATTTTCGGTCCTTTATTGACAATGATGAATTGAAAGCGGAAAAAGAGACAGACTCTTTACGTCGTCTTAACAGATACATCAAAAATCACTTTAAAGAATGGAAAGACAAAGAACTGGTTGTTGGAGTAACTGGACGCACTGGCTCAGGAAAGTCTAGTCTAACCAATAAACTGAGAGGAATAAACTCAAAGGTAAAGGGCGCAGCTGCTGTAGGAGTCATTGAAACTACAAGAGACATTACATCATACAAGTACCCGGGAAACGATTATATAATTCTCAGAGATTTCCCAGGATTTGGGACAACAAGTTATCCAAAAGAAGAGTATTTACAGAAAACCAAAATTCTGGATTCAAGCGTGGTGATCATTGTTAGCTGCGTGCGATTCTCTGAAGATGATGTGTGGATAGCTCAGGAGGCAATTGCCCTTCAACGAAATGTTATTTTCGTTCGTTCAAAAATCGATCAGGATATAGATAACGCAGAAGAAGAAGATCTAGACTTCAGCGAAAATACATGCATGGCAAAGATCAAAGCAGAAATTAAAATCAATTTGAAATGTTCTGATCTAGATCCACAACTTTATGATATTTTTCTAGTAAGTTCTAGACTGAACAAGAAATATGACATCCTTTCCCTGCATGAAAAGATCAAGGCTCTTCCAATCATGAAAGCTGAAACCATATGTCATTTTTTGTTTGAACACATGAAGAAAGCCATAGCAGATAAAACAGAGACTATCAAAACAGAATTCTTAGGAAGAAAGGTTGCGTCAGTATTTACAGGATTTTTACCAATTCCAAAACTCGAATCGACGACTGACACGTACCATGTTAAGAAAATATTCGAGGAATGTGAAGTGAAATACTGTGTTGATAGAGACTCTATCTCTGAATTTGCTAGAGAAATAAACATGTCGGAGCGTGAAATTGAAATTGAAATTGAAAGTCGAATGAAATCACGTGATGATAGAGTGAGAGATGAATATCAATTATATACAGAAACGGAAGACAAAAAATGGGCTTTTGTGCAGAAATATTCCAAGTATACGTTTCCAGTCCTCGGCATGCTTTACTCCGCCTACAAGTCTCCTCGTACGATACAAGAATGTCTAGACAAGATTTGCGATGCAATGGCCGAAGACGAATTGATGTTGGTTAAACTAAGATTAAGAAAACTTGAGAAAGATCTAAAAAGTTAAAACACAAGACAAGACTTGCAATGGCAATTCAAGTTCATGATGAACATAAATCTAGATAACTTGAAAAATATTTCTCAGTGTCTATTACCGCATGACCAAGGGTGTGTTGTGCTTGTTAAAAGTTCATTGTAAACTAAAAAAAACTTGATTTTGACTGGCTGACTAAAATATATTTTATACAATTATTACATAGCATGCGTAAAGCATTTTAAACTAGGTTTGTGACCATCATTTGTCGGCAATCGTATTCGTAAAACGTATCACTAAGGATATATGTCATATACGGAACGTCAAGTTAGGTAACTCAAGTCTTTCTCCAGGAACTGACATAGCTTGATAATCGATGTGTATATGAGATAAAACGGACACAAAGTATTAGACCGTTAAGGATTATGTGGTAAACGTGATATAACTGTTTTACTGGGTTGTCGTTCGACACTGAAACAACTCTGTAGCAAATGATTTATGTATGCCAAAAATGTATTAACGTGAGTTAACTGTTGTTGATCTGTGTAACTATGAGTATATTTGTTATTGATAATGGATAGAGTATATCTAAGTTTGCTCTTTGTTCATTCAAAATAATTACAATGCTTCAGAATAAACCTATCCTAAGTTCACTATGCAAAGAGTGGTTTTCTATGGAATCAACTTTTTATTTACACTAATCTGTGTTACGTGTCATCAAAGGACAAATTAGCGTTTCATACTCGAAATGAAAAAACACACAAAAAACCACAACAAAATAACGTTGCTACTTGAAATGTGTATTTACATGGGACATGGCGTGTTAGTATTATAACATCTTAGTATACTTTAGTTTTAATTTAAAAATGTAATATAATTTGTCGTTATAAATAATTACTGTGGTTTTTGGTTTAAACTGTTTACGATATTGGTATGTGTAAGACCGCCACAACGTCATGAAATTGAAATGTTGAAGAATATGGTATTTGAATGAATAGTTAATACACCGTTCACAATACAATACAATATGAGTCAGATAAGATTATTCCACTAGCTTATTATCTAAGATCATATCAGAAATTTATATAACTCATTCTATGTATCGTAAAATGTGTAATTGTGTTAAAAGTGTGTGACATAAATAATGTATGAGTGTAGGTCAATACTGAATTTATTGAACGAGTTGAATAAAATTATAAATCAAAATGTTATTTCGTTACCTACACTCAGTATTATTCAATCATGATTAAAACATTAACCCTGTAGTAAATATTTTAAAAATTGTGCTCAACATTTTTTTTTTTTTTTTGAATGTCAAGAATGTCATTTTGAAAACCCAAGATTTCACATCCGTAACATATTATGTCTAATAACAAATATTAGAGAGATACGTACAAAACAAGCGGCAATGCTTTATCGACCACCATCTCGTCACTTAGCAATAGCATGTGGCGTTTATAAACATGTACACGTATATCTACGTTCTATCACAGACAGTCATATATCGATGATAGAATTACATGGACGACAGTGCTAAATGAGATCAACCGTCCTCTGGCTTTATTCCATACTTTATTGACATGTGATCAAGTTAGTCATGACTTATCATTAAATCATTTTTTATCTTATAATCAAGATTTTCACTGAATTTATATGAAGTAGGTGTCCTGTTTTAAAACTTGAAACAACCAAGCTCTGTTTTGGATTAGAATATTCTTATGTTTAGTTAAGAGAGCTTTGAATCATCCATTGCTGTATTCATACATCGATCATGGAACAGTCAATGTGGCGATTTCGTTCCATTGGATGGGAAAGCGACGAATCGTCCAAAAGTAAAAGAATATTTGTGTAAAGTATAGGGTATCAAGGGCAATGAAGCATGATCATGAAGAAAATTGCCAAAAGATTAATTTAAAAAAGCATTATTTTTTAAAGGTACCACCAAATAATAAAAAGATATTCAATGTTCGGGCAACCTTTAACTACAACATCCACAAGCCTGCAATGTCATGGCGGAAATGTATGGAACGCAAAATTTACATTCTGTAAAAATATTTGAAGAGGTCTTCAAATAATATTAGAAGTCTCAGTTTCAATTAAAGATATCTAAGTATAGTTATAACTCGCAAAGATTTTAATAGAGAGATCTTTGAATAATTCTAATTGTTGCGTATCATAGAACAATAACAGGGGACTTGTAATCAATTAGAGAGCTTTTCAATTCAATGACAGAGCTCTTAAAAGGAGATTAATTAAGATTTTCCACAAGAAATTATACTTAATGTATTTTTTTATTTTTTTTTTAGATTTTACGGGAAAAAAACCATCAATCTAACTACTAGTATCTGTATTCGCTTATATGGTTTAAACAGAATTAATGTTATGCCTTGAGTCGATTTTCTGTTTAAAGTTAGATACTTTTACAAATACAA